AGCGCGCGGCCGCCGGTTCGAGTCCCGCTCGCGGCAGCGCTGCAGGCCGCGCTAAGGCCCGGCTGTACTGCCGGAGGGGGGATTATAAACACCCAGGTTTATGGGCACCCAGGCCGAAAACCAACCAACTCCCGTCGCCCCCCAGCCCGTTCTTGTTAAAAGAGCCTAAAACTCCAGCAGTTGGAAGGTGTTGATCACCCTGGAGAAAATGGGTTTCTGAGACGGTGGGTGTCCGAGGCAGCCATGTGGCCTGTGGAGACGAGCTGACAACACAGGCAGCCATTGCTCCCTTTGAGCCATTTGTGCTCAGGGTCCAAAGCAGCCGCTTCCTCTTCATGTGCTGCTGCTAGTTATGGGAAAGGGACAGTGAGACAACCCCCTCTGCTCAAGTAACAATGTTTATATTTGGCTTTTCCCCTGCTCAACCCATTTGTACCTGAGGCCTTTGCAGCTTTTTCAAGAGCCAGAACAAGCCACAAGTTCAGCTCCAGCACAGCCCCCTAGAGGAACAGGAAACCCTCCTCCTCCTCAGCCCCTGCAGACAAGCTGCAATTTCCCAGGGCTAAATCAGGCCATCACCCTCACTCTGCTTCAGGAGCTTGGACTCCCAGAAATGCAAATAGATGTCTTTAAAATACGTTTCTTTTTACTGGAAACTGTTTAATGACATGTCTCAAGTTGTGCTAGCAGGTTCTTCTGGAGGACAGGAAAATGCCAGGAGCTTCGTCTTTCCCACAGCCACCTGCACAGGGGACCAAAACACTGGGTGGTCAGCCTAGGCTGCTAAGTGACAGCAGCCTTGGTTTCCAAGTATCCTTGGTTGGCAAGGAGCACAGCTCTGCTGGAGACAAATTCCTGTAGTGCTGCCTCCTCTGAGGTACAACTCCTAACCAGGGTCCATTGCCAAATTTCCTTGCACCTTGCAGAGCACAAGGGTCTGGACATGTCTTTGCTGCACAAGCAGCAGCTCTTTCACCACCTCTCCTTCCCCTCCACTCCTCACCCTGTAATTGAGTTGGCCCAATACAAGGTGCTACCAGCAGTGGCTTCAGCCCACTGCCCAAACACCGAGCTCCCAGGGGCAGCTTTTGGACGAAAAGAGGCCAAGCTCCATCTCCTCGAGCAGGTTGCCAAGAGCAGAGAAGCCATTGAGATAAGAAAGGATCATTTTTAACATTAGCACATGAAAATGAGTAGCTCCTTAGGCATCAGCCAAGCCATCTGGCGTCAACGAGCACCTCAGATGATCTGGCCCATCACAGCCTGTGCTCACAAGTAACAGCAGGGCTTCTGCAACACAGCAGTGCCACAGAAACACTGACAAGGCCCCCAACATTGCCTTGGGGAGAAGGTTAGATCAAACATCTGATTATGCCCTTTCTCAGCAGCAGCCTGTCCCACTGCTGTCCTGTTGGGGAATAAACAGATAAAGCCAACATTGACCATAAAAAGTTTAATTAAGGTAACAGTAGAAGCCATTAATTGAATTCCAGCTCTTGGCAACAGCAACAGCACACTTTTCCTTATTCAAGACCCCTATGGGATGCCCAAGTAAGGTCAGGGCACTGAGAAAGCAGCAAGTTAGAGGGAACAAAATCACCTCTCAAGGAGTCCTCAGGTTTGCACAGTGAAATGCCAGATGCCTCATGCTAACAGCTTAGATGTGAGACAAGCCTGCATCAGCACTGACCACTGAGCAGGCTGCACCTGCTGGGCAAGGACACCTGGGACCCCCACAGTCATTTTCCCCCAGCACAGAACAGTTTCTTCCCCTTGCTCCTTCCAGGGCTGCAGGACCTCCCCCTCACCTCATCCAGATCATGGAGTTCATTTGAAACCTGCAGTGTGCTGCAATCTCTTCTTGCAGCTATCTTGGACCTTGATATTTGCTCTTCCACCTGCATCAGAGCCCCTATGTAGTTGTTGCTGGGCTCCTGTCTTGCACATCACCATTCCCAATATCCAGCTCCACCTGGATCCCTGTTGGCTGCAAAGAGTGAGAGGAATTTAACCACATGCTGCTGGAAATTTCAAAGCAAACCTGTACATTGCCATTGCTTCATTGCCTGCCCCAGAGGCAAGAAAAAAAATCCCTGATTATATCCCATTAAGGATTTCTGCTGCTGCCCTAATTTTAACTGGGCCTGCTGCACACACAAAGATACAAATAGAGAATGCAATTTAGCAGAGAAAGAACATCTTGCTCTTAGATGTCCCCAGATAACACAATTTAACATATCCGGAACGTGTTTCACTGCCCAGCACGCAGCCACATCCAAAGCCCTTTGGATCAGGATGCAGAACAGGCTACCAGCCAGGATGCTGGTTTATGCAAAGCTGCCCCGGTACGCAGGCAGAATTCAAGTCAAAGTCAACCCTGAAGCGAGCACCACAGGATCTTTGCTGTCCATATGCAATCAGGAGAGATTAAGACCAGCAAGATGAACATGGTGACCTAGATTGCAAGTAGTGCCGCTCATTTAACATACCTAAAAATATAAGCTCAGGCTGCTAGGAACAGATGCTCTTTTCTTGCATAGGATACAACTAGGCAGCATTTCCTCCTCTTCCACTGCAAGAGGTCACGCAGTGAGGCTTATCCTGCCTTAGTGCCACAAGGAACCTGCATCCTCCATCCTCTCTCTAGTCCAAGTCACCTTCCCCATGACTTCCCCATTGCCAGAGGGGCTGGTCTCACCTGCCGGGGCGATTTTGCAAGGGAGGCAACGCGCTGCGTGCCACCCTTCTCCCAGGCCACCTCTTTGCTCTCCAGCAGCAGCCGGGTGCTGGGCACGAAGCTCCAGGAGCGACCGAGGGCTGGCTTCAAGGGGCCAGCGCCGCTGTCCCTTGTCACCTGGTTAGTCACCTGCAGCACAAACATGGTTATCAGCACCCAGGGAAAACGGCGCCACTCACAGTAACGGAACACAGGAGATCACGGGGAGATAAGAGCCACAATCTGCTACTTCTGCAAACCTTTTTCCTCTCCTTCCTGTCCCCCCCAGCACAAACATGCCCCCCTTATAAGCACAACTCGCAACTGCACCATACATGCAGTTTCTACTATTTCCTAGCTAATTGCTTAACACAAGCAGTGCAAGACAAGCTTCCCCTTGAGAAATGCTTCAGCTTGAAGGCCCTCAGCAGAGGCAGGAAGCACACAGGTTCATGCTGAGCTCGCTCACTCCTGCAAGCTGCAGTGCTTACACCTCCTGTAAAGTTTAACTCGGAACCTCAAGCGACCTTCCCTGTTGCTTTATTGCAGCTCAAAACAGCAAAGGGCAGGGCTGGCCCAGCACCTTCCAGTGCCAGGTTCAGCACATCCATTTTCCCTTGTGGCCCTTCCAATTTAAGCATACTGTGGTCACAGCATCCTTTCTGGGAGCATAGCAAATGAAATTGCTCATCCAAGAGCTGGAGAGCACAGCATAGCTTTCCAATCCCCATCCCTTTCCATATGATGCAGTGCTCTGCAGATAATTCCAAAATAACTAAATAAGAGGCTATTTAGACAGCTAGCCAGCCCCCTAAATGATATATGAATCTACAGCTGGTGCCATATCAAAAATAAATACAAGCAGCCTTTTGGTCTGTTTGTACTTGGCTCTACCTTGCTCAATCAAGCAAATGACTCATTGGCTGCAGACAGCAATAAAAGCCCGCTCCCCCCCCCCAAAAAAAGGCCAAGCCAACCAGCCCTGCTCTTGGTCCTTGGGTGCTGGAACAGGAAATCTGTGTCTGCAGAGCAGCAGAGCTGCATCAGCAACCAGGCATGGGAACAGAGCTCTGCAAGGTCTCAGCTGCAAGCAGCACCCCAAAACCACTGCAGGGCTCCTCACCACAGCACACAGCAGTACCCAAGGGGCAGGGCACAGTAACACTCACCACCACTGCAAGGCTGAACTCCCTGGCCAGCATCTTCAGCTCTCTGGCCAGCTGCATCATGAGGGCCAAGCCTGCAGCAAGAAGGGGTATTTTTCAGTTTGGTGGGATCAACACAGAGGGAACAGCCCCCTAAGTTCCCAGGACCACCTCAGAGGTGAGTGACACTTAGCAGAGAGCTCCGCCCTCCCAATTTATAAACCTTTTTGGCAGGAACAGCCCAGGGAAACCATGCATCTTTGTTGTTGACATATTTTACAACCAGGACACTGTAAACAAATAATTTACTCAGCAAGCAAATGCAGCTCAGTGCCTCCTTTGTGTCCTGACAGGTTTCAGGCCACTGACCTGAACCTGCAATGGAAAAGCCTGCTTGAATTTCCACAGTAATATTGAAGGCAGACTCCCCTTTTGCTGATTACAAATAAATAAATAAATAAAAAGCTAGAATAAGCTCTATCTTAGCTAATCACTAGAATAATGTGTGAAGCCTGCCCCTTGCTCCAAGCATCAGGTCAGTAAGAGCAGCAAGTCTGTAACCTCACTGCAGATGCACAGAACGAGCAGCAGTGCTTTGGTGTCACCCCTACCACAGCACACTCACCCTCTGACTGCTTGCCTCCCAGCAGCGGGTAAATCACAGCTGAAACCGAGTCAATCAGCACCACCTTGAGAGGCCCCGTGCAGCTCATAACCTGAAGAAAAAAGGTACCACATGCCACGCAGGGTAACACTATACATAAATAAAGCAGTTTTGGAGGTCCTCAAGCTGCACAGAGGCTCAACACTGGAGCCAGTGTAAGTCACTGCGCACACAAGTCCAGTCTGGTGCCTCCTTTGCTGCTCCAAACAGCCAAGGGGTAAGGAGGGAGAAAGACCCAGAGCCTTGGTCCTACCTGCTGGGAAAGGCTGTCCCGAAGCTCCTGCAAGGCTCCCAGCATTTCGTAGATGTTGAACACTCGGGCCACCTGAACCCTCTGCAGAGCTTCCAGCTGCAGCAAAAAGCAGCAACTTCATCAAAAGCCTCCCATCCTCCAGGATCAGCAGCACAGCCACACATCCCAACACCACAGGTGCCCCCCTTTCTACTGATCCACAAGCCCTATTCCTCCTGCCCCCAGGATGCTAACGGCTCTTTGCATTTATACAATGCTGTAGGAAGAAGCACCCTTTTTTCCCCCCATTTACTTCCACCAACTGCTGTCCTCATTCCACCAATGGAAGAACTGAAACACAGTGAGGTCAAGGAGTCAGAATGTGGGCAATCGCACTGAGCTCTCCACAGAAAAAAGTGTGGTGCCACCTAAGCCAGTGCCCAGCACCCCCAGGCCATGGGAGGATGAGAGTGGACCCAGAAAAGTCCAGGGGACCCAGAGAAACTGGCTCTGGGGGTTGGCAAGCACCTAGCAAGGCCAACAGTAGCTCTTAAGGACCAGCCTGACCTGCTTCGCAGTGAACTTGCCTGTTCTTCCTCATCCTCTGTCTCAGCTTGAAGCATCTGGTGGAGGCGGGAGGCTGTGAATCCCCCCGTGGAGTCAAGAAACAGGACGTGTTGCTTGAGGCCGAGACACGCGCTGGCTGCAATGCTGAGGCACACCTAGGAGAGGCAGGGTGGTCCTACACCCACTAGCTTTGCATGGGGAGCTCCCGGAGTCTTCCTGATGATCCCACACCAAGCAGGACAAGCTGAAGCTCATGTCAGGGCTACCCCGTGCTCTGGAAAAGGCTGTAGGCCAATAGAGGAAACGAGGCCAATGTTTGCCCGCAGCCTTTGCTCACCTGTGTCTTCCCACTGCCAGGTGCTCCCATGATCTCCATCACTTCCCCTGTGTACAGCCCAGAGTCCAGCAGTTTGTCCAAGCTAAGGGTTGAATAAACAGGTGGGATTATGTAGACACCTCCAGTGAGAAAGGAAAGGGCACTACAAAGCAGCAATCTCTGGATCTTTGTCCCTAGAGGTCCCTTTCCAACTGCAGACAAGTGCCTCAGACTTTGCCCCTTCCAACCCCTGCTCTCTGCACATTTTGGAGAACAGCAGCAGATCTGCAGTATAGCAGGTGAGAGGACAGTATTGCAGAACCGTGATCTAGGAGCTCTTGAGGTTTGAATACACAGGATTTCTCTGCACAGTCTTTTTTCTATGACTTATCTAGGCAGTTTGGACCATCATTACTCAACTCTCCTCTCAGACCCATAACCTACATCTCTGGAGCTCTAAGGAAATGCTGAGAGGAACATGTTGTCTAGCCTCAAAGCCACACACATTAACCGATTCCCATTTTGGAAGAGCGACAGCACTGCCCGTCCCTGAAGGGGCACAAACTGGCTGGGCCTGCAGCCACAGTTCAGGAAGGCCATAGAAAACAAATGCCTCTACTCTCATCCTAGTATTAAAAGAGGGCTTTGAGATAGAGAAGAAAGTACGACCATGGGCAGGAAAGCTGCAACAACTCCACAAGGGAACAACAGCATTACTACAATGGAGCACTACCTGCAATGCCCCAGGTCCACTCTACTCCATCCCACCTCATCCCACACAACACTTGAGGCACCATCATGGTGACACCCACAGCCTGGACTTTCTGCAGAGAGCTTCCCACAGCCAGAGCTGCCTGCGCAATGAACCCACCTGGGGATCCCTGTGGACAGGATGGCTGTGGAGCTCTTGAGCTCCTCATAGAGATCTGCTCCGTTGGCGGGGAACGCCGAGAACTGGGCCAGGAGCACACGCCGCACAGCAACCAGGGCCTGGCAGGCAAAGAGCTGTCTGAAAAGCAGCCTGAGGGAACCTTGAGCTAGGCTGGCACAGGCATAGCAAAGAAAAAGGTCTCCATTGCCCTGGGCACCTGCGTACCCCACAAGCTGAGGGTGCTGATAGCACAGTCCTCATTCACAGCTTGACTCTTAAGCACAGTCTTACGATTCTGAACACTCAGCGTAAGGCTGGCTACCACAGATCCAAGTAAAGAAGCTGTGATGTAGAAGACAGTCCGATGCTACGGAGCATCCTGCAGGCTGGACTGCAGCCACCAACGTCTGCTCCAAGAGAAGGTCCCCATGGATGAGTCCACCCAAACACAGAGCTGAACAGCTCCCTGGTTAACACACCAGGACCAAGAGCTTGCCTTTACCTTGTAAGACAAGGAACACTTCTGTGCAACGTCCTCCAGGTCTGACGAGACAAAGTCCACCACTGCAGATACACAAGGGAGAAGAATTGGAAAGCCAAGCGTTGGCAGACACCAGCAGCCAGACCCCAGCAGCCATGGCAAGGGGCTAATGACTCAAAAGGCCAACCCAGGGCACACAGAAAAGCGGGAGGGGGGAAAAAAATAGAAAAGAGGGAGAACACTGACTCTGCTTCTGCCTCAAAAGTCACTTTGAGGGTTTAAGGTTTTTCAAACACATTATGTATTTAAAAAACAGCAAGAAGCAATTTTTATGAAGGAAAATAAGACAACAACACCCCTGGCTTTTGCACCCATTAATTTTTCGCCTAAAAGCTCCATTTAACACCCATAAAGTGTTTGACTCCCTCAGCTTTAGACCTAGGGTCGCAGAGTCCCCGGAGCCCCCGGCCTCGCTGCCAGAGGCGCCCCCGCAGCCCCCGGCCCCTCACCCGTGCGGAGGCCGCTCGCCCGCAGTGCTAAGGAAGAAGAAAACTCACCCAAAAGAACCCAAACCGCCAAATTCGCCTTAAAAAGGCGCAGCGGGGCAGGAGAGGGGAATCCCACCCAGCTGGCTCTAAATGACCCCGCGCAGGTGACTGTCATGCGCATCCCAGGCACTATAAACACACAAGCAACCACCCCACCACTGTTCTCCTTTTATTTCCCTAAGGGGGAATGTTTTGGAGGGGGTGTGACTAGGAAAGGTAACCTTGGGGAAATGTGTCTTGGAAAGTAGTGTGAGCAAAGCTAGTGTGTATTAAAAGGAGCTTAAAGATAGGGCTTGACTTACAGAAAGGTAAGAAATGAAGGCACAGCTAGCGCAGCCCTGCCTTTTAGAGCTCTTAGTGCCCTTTGGCAGGGCTCACTCCTTGAGCTGCCCCTGGCTCTGCCTGGGCTCCTGCCCCCAGGAATGCTCCAGGACAGGTGCCGTTAGGACTGCGGGCTGCAGCGCCCTGGAGGTTCTGGCACGGTTGTTCCCAGCATGGCCTGGGCAGGAGCAACTCCTCCAAGCAGGGATTTGCTGCCCTCTCTGTTCCCTGAGTGCTGGATGTCCTCAGGAGAAAAAAAAAAAAAAAATTGCTTTTCCTAGCAAGGCCTCTAGGATTTTGTGCTATGCAACTGCTGTTACTTCCTGTATTTTTTTTCTCCAACCCCCTGTCCCCAGCATAACCTATTTCTTTTCTCAGTAGGGCCCTGGCATGGAAGCATGTGGTCTGGCAGAGCTTAGCAATGCAAACCTGCTTCTGCTGCCCCTGGTCTGTGATTCCCATCCCTGTGATTTTTCCCCAGTGTGTTTCATAATCAGGACACTAGCAGTCATGCTCAGGAGCTGTTTTTTGTGGGGAATCAGCCAGCAAAGCAGAATTAATAATGCTCTCTGGTCTAAAAAATGTGCAGCTTTCAAAAACATGCAGCTTTGAGAGTTCTGTGCTGAAGGTGTTCAGCAGTTCTCTCTTCTAACCTGCGTTGCTCATAGTGAGACCTGAGGCTCTCATCACAGCAGTGGGCTAATATGCTCTGGTCTAGACCCTTGTGTGAGGCTGTGCTGCGAGCGGGGCAGGAGGCAGCACGGGGTGTGCGTGGGCTGTAGCTCCCAGTGCCTTCTGGAAGGTGCTGGGTGCTGCTGCAGCTGCCAGCATGGGGCCACTTGCTCCAGCAGCTCAGCTGTCTCCTGCTTCCTTAAATAGAACAGGAAAAGGCTCTGAGCACTGGGCTGGGGGTCAGCGATCCCAACCAGGGGGCTTTTTGGGCGTGAATCCCTCCCTCCCTGCACCCCCTGTCCCGTGCTGCTCCGCAGGTACCTTAGGCTCAGTGGCAGGGACAGGTTATCTGGGGACAGGTGCCCCCCGAAGCCGACCCAGTGGCAGGGGCCCCAGCGTGCAGCCCTGCTGGGACACAGTGTATAAGAGGTGGGGACAGGCTGCGGTGACAGGTGACGCTGACAGGCCCCAGGAGCCGCTGGGTCCTGCCCAAACTTGGAGCGGGAGGCGAGGGAGAGGGGATCTTCCCCAGCCGCCAGACCCAGACCCGCCGTGCCTCGGCTGACTTGTTAAACTTCAGATTTTTTTCTTTTATTAATTGAGCACTGAGAATTTGCAACACTGGGAAAAAACTTTGGAGAAGTGACAGCTTCGAGGAGCAATTTTGACCTTGGTTTTTTTTTTTTTGGAACTCTTCAGCCTGGTAAACTGCTTTTATTGACAGGTATTAATGATATGCTGGGATGGGAGTGCTGCTTGAGCCGAAGGCGCTACTTGCCCAAGGGGATGTTTTCCTCAATACTCTCAGGCAGGTAAAATTTGCATCCTTTCCCCCTCTGCTCCCCAGATGGAGGATCCCATCCAGCTGAAAGAGGAAGGCAATAAATACTTCCAGGCCAGCGACTACGAGAAAGCCGTGCAAAGCTACACGCGGGCGCTGAAGCTCAACAAGGACAAGGCGCTGCAGGCCGTGCTGTACAGGAACAGGGCCGCGTGTTTCCTGAAGAAGGTGAGCGCGGAGTGGGGCACGAATGTTAGTGGGAAAAGTTTATTGCACCTTCAGTAAAACCCTCTCAGCTCCTGCCAGAGCATTTCAGATCACCCGCATGCTCCTGAAAAAGTGGGTTACTTTTTGGTTCTCGTGGTGTCGAGCTATTAAGTGGAAATAGGGAGCATCAGTAATGTGGGTGCATCCTGCTAATTGGCTGCCCTGCTAATGAATTGCCCTTCCTTCCCGATTCCGCAGGAGGAATACGGCAAGGCAGCCTCGGACGCGTCTCGAGGTAAGGGGAGGCCGTTTGCAGGAACGAGCCGCGTTGTCGGGTGCATTTGCTCCGGCCGGCAGGAGCTTGCTCAGAGGCCACAGGGAAATTAATAGAGAAGAGGATGCAAAGGCCACGTGCTTACGCTGGCTGCAGTGCACTCTGTACAGCTTGGCTTTTGTACGCGAGTCAGCTACAGATTTGCTTGCTTATACGTTAACAGTGACCTGAACATGCAGGATTCACAAAGAACTGAGTAAAGGGCTTGTTCCTTCCAAATTTAAGGACAAATGTTGTTGCTCCCAGAGCCTCTCCCCAACAAGACTGGTGCAGGATGCTGAGGCGGGGGGAGAGCTGCTGCTTTGATGCCTTTTCTTTCTGCATTTGTGCATTTCTTCTCGTTAGAGCTTAAAGCTGATACCGGCCATTGCAGGCAAGAGGCTTCCAGTGCTGCAGGCTGGGGGTTGTTGCGCTCCAGGGACGTGGGTACCCAAAGCCAGGGGGTCCAAGCAGACAGCTGTGTCCCAAGGAACAGTATTTGTTGTGAATCAAATAACTGTTTACCCAGGAAACTCTCAGGAAGCAAACTCTGATAGCTGCTCTCTTGGATCACTTCCCTAGCTATTGATATCAATGCTTTGGATATCAAAGCCTTGTTCCGGCGCAGCCAGGCTCTGGAAAAGTTGGGGAAGTTGGACCAAGCATTCAAAGATGCTCAGAAATGTGCCACCATGGAGCCCCGCAACAAAAGCTTCCAGGAGACCCTGAGGCGACTGGGAGCTGACATCCAGGAGAAGGTAAATGCTACTGACCAGAAAAGCAGGTGTGGGACACGAGGAAAATCCTTGTTCTGGGATACGCTGAAAGATTATTGGTCTTACTGAATACTTTTAATAACAGAAAGTGATAAATAGGCCCTGCTAACTGGAAGGCTCCTGCCTGAAGCATGCAGATCTGAGGATCAGATTCAATGGTTCAGTTAAGCGTGGCAGCCAGGTTCTGGGTCTTGGAGATGGGTGATACTGCTGCTGGAGAAGGGAAGCCTGTTTTGTTGGGCAGCCTGGATTGCCTGCAGTTTTTGAGGTCTGTGGTTTCCTTGGAGTGACATAGGAAGATTATCCCTAGATTTTGTGCCTCTCTGATTTCCTGTGTTGGTACAGCTGCGCATTCAGTTCTCCACCGACATGCGGGTGCAGAAGATGTTTGAAATTTTGCTGGATGAGAACAGTGAGAAAGAAAAGCGTGAAAAGGTGAGAACTGCCCAAGGCTTGACAAAATGCCTATTAATGCCAGAGGCTCTGCAGAGTTGAGGGCTGGTCCCTTCCCTGCCTTCCCCAGATGGAGGATGAGGTAAGGAGCAAAGAGGTGAACTGAGCTTGCAGAGGTGCCCAAAGAGGCATCACCCTTGTGCCAAGGGAAGCCAGCTGACCTTTCAAAATACAAAAGCTGGTCTCAAACTCAGTTTCCTTTAGGAATTTGGCTGCTCAGGCTCATCTCTGCTGCCATCCCCATCTTCCCCTCCAAGCAATGATCCATTTTCCTCTAAAGGAGCGAAGTCAGTCCCCAGGTATCCCTGGAGAAACTGCCTGCTGAGGCCAGAGCTTGTCCACTGGAGCTGGCAGGTGATGGCTGCCCTGCAGCTCCCACCAGGACATCCCCACATCTCGCTGTCAGGGTCTACTCTTATTTACTGCTATAATGATCAAGGCTGGAGGGGAGGCAAAATAGAGCAGACAGTTGGCAGGGGCGTGGGGGGTGCAAAGTTCACAACCTGCTGTCCAACTTCCATATTCTTCCTGAAACCATTTCAGGAGGAGAGGATGGTGCTTCATAACCTTGTCCTGAACTTTTGCAGCTCCTCCTGCAACCAACACTTCCTAGAGCTGCACAGACGCGTTTTGGAGGCTGTGCCATTAACTCCTGCTTGCTGTTTCCCCTAGGCTGCAAACAACCTCATAGTCCTCGGGCGGGAGGAAGCGGGTGCAGAGAGGATATTCCAGAACAACGGGGTCCACTTGCTGCTGCAGCTGATAGAAACCAAAAATCCTGAGATGATCCTGGCAGCTGTGAGGACACTTTCCGGCATGTGCATAGGACATAAAGCTCGAGTAAGCAATGGGGCCCTTGTAGGACTTTCACTGCAGTTCCTGGGCAATTAGGGGAATGGAAGATCACAGGCATCACGGATGCATCACTGTGCACAGGGATGCACTGCAGGATGACACGGGGTTTGCTCCATGGGGATGGGGTTCTTGTGTGAACAGGCTCTTTGTTGTTAACAGCCCTTGTGCCAAGGCCTCGTCAAAATCTGACATCTCAAGCTGGCTGAAATAACTAAAATTCAGAATCGATGGTTACAATGTGTTGTTTTATTAGAAATTAAAATATGGCTGATAAGAAAAACTCCCTATACAGACTCAGAATTCGCACAGGAAATACTTGACTTTTCTAAACCATACTGGAAATACCAGCTTATATCCCCTCGCCTAACAGCTGCTCTGCTCTCTCCTTCCTGGGGCCAGGCCACTGCAATCCTCCATTACCTGGGCATCGACAGCATTTGTACGTGGATGTCGATAGACAACGAAGAAATCTCCCTGGCTGTCTGCAACCTCCTGCAGAGCATCGTTGACTGCTTGATGGGGCAGGGGAAAGAGGAGCATCACGGCAAGGAGGCAGCCATGGTGTTAGGTAATGGTGCACGATGAGGGGGACGGGGCTCTGCTCCCCGCCTGTCCCTCCTATTCCCCCTTCTCTGGGGCATTGTCTAGAGTTCCTAGCTATCATGGTCATAGAACCATAGAGTCATTATGGTTGGAAGGGACCTTTAGAGATCATCTAGTCCAACCCTCCTGCACACACAGGGTCACCGCATCCAAGTGGGTTTTGAAGATCTCCAGAGAGGGAGAATCCACAACCTCTCTTGGCAACCTGTTCTAGTGCTCTGTCACCCTCACTGTTGAGAAAATTTTCCTTAAGTTCCTGTGGAACTTTTGGTGCTTCAGTTTCCAAAACTAGTTTCCTCTAGTTCTGTCAGTGGCCACCACTGAAAAGAGGCCAGCA